GCTGTGTGGATATTAATTAAATGTATTAAACAAATAACACAGCCACACGGGGAGGCAGGGGTCCATCTGCCAGTGGCACAGGCTGTTCTATGCAGAGACTGGAGGGGAATGGTAGTTAATGTTACTAGGCAGAGCTCAGCAGATGGACTCTGGTCTCTGGTGGGAGAAATTTGGTGGCGGTCCAGCAACTCTTCCCTCCTCCAGGTTTTTTCCATCCTTGCAAATGTGATTCGAAGAAGCCCCTTTCTGACTTCTTCCAGATTTTCCCTCCCATTGGCTTGTGTGAGTGATGTTTGAATCGGGCTGATGTGCTAGGGAGGCAAGTCCCAACTGATCTCATACTATCTATGTGCGGCAAGCTCGGAGCAGAGAAGTAATTAGGAAAATGTGATCCCATTGACTTTACACCTTGTATGTATACGCTGCTACATCTCAGTCTGGGCCCGCAAAGCAGACTGTATCGGTGTGTGTCTTTCGTAGAATTTAAAATACCCTGAACTAAAAGTGTAGCTCTGGCCAACACTTAAATTGGATGTAAATCCGATCACTAAAATCTCATCAAAGCTTTAAAGGATAAGTTCCCCTTTTGGGAAAAATAATAAATGCACATTTTTTGCAGGTGAAAATGTGCTTTTATTATTTTTTGCCACAGGAGCCTGTAAAGCATTACACCAGCAATCAGTAGAACGCTGGTGCCATGCAGATCTCCTGCAGACCTGTCAGTATATCTTCTTGCCCATATGGGATTTATGAGCAAGCAGATATACTGTACTGACAGGAAGATTCAATGAACTACCACGGCGCGGAGGAGCCCATGTGGAGTTCATTGAGAACTACAAGCTGCTAAGCAGAAGTGTGATGCGGCCTGGTGGGCTGAATATGGGTATAACATGTAACACATTATGAAATGTGAACTTATCCTTTAACCTGTAAATGTAATTTCAAAAGTAATTTAAATTTTTTTTTTAAATCTGCAGATGCCATTAAAATAATATCTGGTGGCTCTGCCTTGAAGGTCCAAGCACGTCCTATGGGCATATGAAGGGTGAAAATGCTTGTCACCTTGTCACACATGCTTCTGATAGAGAAGTTTTAACACACATTATGAAAGCATGGTCTGTTGTTGTCACTATTAGAAAACCTTTCCTGAGAAATGCGATACAGCCATCACTAGAGTACATCAATATGGGAAGTGGTTGCAAAGAAGCTCCTGGTGATCAATAGCACTGAGATGCAACACAGGATTAAAAAAACACACTGTCAAAAAACAGTTTTGGCACCTAGCCAACTGAAGGGTCCACGTGGTAGAGTCACTGAGAGCCACTTCCTGACATGTTTCGTGCTATCGCACGAAACATGTCAGGAAGTGGCTCTCAGTGACTCTACCAGGTGGACCCTTCAGTTGGCTAGGTGCCAAAACTGTTTTTTGACAGTGTGTCATTCCTTGTAATTGATTTTCTTCCTAATAAAGCAGTGTTGCACTATGACACTCTTTGTGTTTGGGCTCATTCTTCTATGAGCCTGCCTTTTAAAAGGAGACCATTGGATGACATCTTAACTGCTGGCTCCCTCTGGTGGATTTCGTGTGTACTACATACTCCCTGGTGCTGGGTTAAAGACCCGTGATGACGTCTTGATCGCTGGCTCCCTCTGGTGGTTCCTGATCGCTTTGGTAGTATTTGGAAGCGTGGCTGATATGCTGGAATTCCTGGGGCTGTCCATCAGACGATCCATATCCTAGATGTCCTACTTTAGATGACCCATGTATTATTCATATGCGCATGGAATAGCGCTATCTGGTTAGTGCAAGCTACACCTATACGTACCACCAGTGTCACCATTGATATTCTGACCTTGGATAGACTGTCACGTGTTTTCCACATAATTTCACAGTTTCAGAATATTTTTCTATTTTATTTTTTCCAATATCAAGAGACATTATATGTATCCGGATAATATACGGGTTTGCATAAGGGTAATGATTTAGAATAAGACTTTTCAACCTAGCGCTGCATGTTGAGAAATATATTGTGTTTAGAAGGTTCTGAGGTATTACCTTTCATGCTAGCAGCTCCACCCACATAGATCTAGCGCTCGTATCTTTCATACATTTAAGTCCCCATGAAAGGCTGCTTTACAATTGCGCAACTACGAGGACCTTCTTGAAGTAAAGACATTTGTGCACATCCGCTAGTTCTTTAGGTCAGAACTCACAATGCCACAGGATCATCAGCTGCCTCCTTCATTGGGCACTCTTCAATGAGGGATAAACAACTCACAATTATTATTATTATACAGGATTTATATAGCGCCAACAGTTTGCTCAGCGCTTTACAATATAACGGGAGACAATACAGCAACAATACAGTTCAATACAAGAGGGATAGGTGGGCCCTGCTCCTTGGAGCTTACAATCTAAGATACCACAGGAGAGCTGAACATCCTCCTCCAATAACCCCCGGGGACTCTAAAGCGAGCTCTCCAGACCAAAGGTTCCAGACCAAACCCTTAGCTATAGCCAACCCCCCCAGCTATCTGGGACCTCATTGAACGTTTAAGACACATGGGGGTTTATTTACTAAAGTTGGAGAGTGCAAAAGCAGGTTCACGTCTGCATAGAAAACCATCAGCTTCCAGGTTTTATTGCCAAAGCTTCATTGAACAAGCTGGGGCTAGAAGCTGGTTTCTATGCAGATGTGAACCTGATTTTGCACTCTCCAGCTCTAGTAAACAAACCCCACAGTGCTTTAGCTAAAATGTCATTCAGTAAGGGTTTACTTCTGCTCTAAAGCACAATTCCAGGAAGAAAAAAATACATTTCCCTTTCCACTTGCACCTTCTCAAATTGTTTATTTAAAAAAAAAAAGAGGTTTCAACAACCTTCATTTTGAAGACCTCAGGACCCTATGAGAACCTCATGACTGACTCTTCTCACAGATAACGGGCAGGGTCCACCAGGAAATTAGGTGGGCACAGCCAGAGGGAGCCTCCAGACCAGATGTAAGAAGGACTCATCTGTCTGGGGTTTCAGGAAAGTAGTTGAGGATTTTAGGTAGATTGTTTTTATATTAAAAAAATATATTGATTAGCCTCCCTGGCGGTATTCCCGAGTGTAGCTCGGGGTAAAGTTTCAGTACCACAAACGGTAACCCCGAGCTACACTCGGGAATACTATGCGGCGCTGCTCCGCGATCCCTTGATCACTTACCTTGTCCTGCGTTCCCGCAATGTCCCTCCTGCAGTGTCCCCAGCAATGTAATCCGGCGGATGCCGGCATCTGTCATCTGGATTCCGTCCCCTGCGAGCATCGCGACGTATGGGGACGGAACAGCGGGAAATTCAAAAATGACAAAAAGTGACATTCACTAAAATCACTAAAATCACATAGTATAACATTACTGTATCAAACCATTTCACATGCATTTTGTCCTGAGTGCTTTGTCCTGTGCCCTGCCTACATTTTTACTGTTCTTTCTGCCTGGAAACTGAGAAATGTCCATGGCGTCCAAAAAGCGTCCCTTTATGTCAAAAGCGGTTTTAGACCAGCTGGAGAACACCGAGAGTAAATCAGAACCACTTGCAGAATTGAGTGATAATGATTTGTGGGGAAATTTCTCATCAGACACTGAAAACGATTCTGCGACTTTGCTCAGTGATGTGCGAACTTGGCGCTCTATTTCAAATTTCAGTATTTTTGGTTTGATTATATTATTGAATTAAATTTATTATTATTATATTATTATTTTTTATAATTATTTATTAAATTATAATTTATGATTTCGTGTTTCAGATTTTATCATATCCGGAATGTTTACTAGACTCTTGTTCGGACAGATTTCAGTGACTTATTCCTAAAAATTACAGGCCTACAATAAAAAAAATACATATTTCCATGCAAAAAAATTTACCGCTTTCAGGACCACAAAATCTGAAATAATCATACCACCAGGGAGGTTAAGTACAGGGAGTGGCGATGGAAAGGACAGAGTTTTTTATTTTCTGGGGATCAGTTTTAAACACAGCAGCACAGTGGCTAAATGGTTAGCACGTCCACCTGGCAGCACTAGGGTCGTGGGTTCAAATCCCAACCATGGCATCACTTGCCTGGAGTTTGCATGTTCTCCCTGTGCCTGTATGGTTTTCCTCCAGGTACTCCGGTTTCCTCCCACACTCCAAAGACATGTTGGTAGGTTAATTGGTTCCTGTCTAAAAATTGTCCCTAGTATGTGTATGTATGAATTTGAGTTAGGGACCTTAGACTGTATACCACTTGAGGGTTAGGGACTGATGTGAATGTACAATTTATATGTAGAGCACAGCAAAAATTGACAGCGCTATATAAGTACCTGAAATAAATAAAAAATTAAAAATAAACACACAGTTGGATTACTTGTGTAGGAAATGTTTAATCTGTAAACTAATGCATGTGTAGCCACCCTGCCCTAAGCAGGATTGATTCTTTAAATCTATTGTTGCTTGACTGTAATCAACCTAAAATGATATTTATAGTTCTGTATTCTTTTGGTCTCCCATAAACCCAGTGTTATTGTTTGCTATTGCTTCCTGCCTGGGATTGTCACTTGCATTAAAGCAAAAAGATCCAGTAATGCTTCGTTTTATATGTTTATGTCCCTGGACAACCATTTGGAGGTTTGTTGCCAGTGGGGCATGCTAGGAGAGGATATAAATATTTGAGCTTGACCTTGTGCAGCTCACTTCACACTCCAGGCTTCTACATGGGGCAGAGTGGTGTGCTGTGTTTTGTCCTCCTAAGCCTGCTGCCTAGGGAGGGAACTCATGTGTTTGTGAGATAAATCTGGAGACTAGGCTAACACTACTCCACTGGAGATGGCTTTTCCCAGCAGGAGTGGAACCAATCCTGGGAAGGAGCACCAGGGAACTCGGGATACTCTGGTTTCCTCCCACACTCCAAAGACATGCTGGTAGGTTGTCCCCTGTCTAAATTGGCCCTAGTATGTGTATGTATGAATGTGAGTGTGAATCAGGGGCGGACTGACCATTTGGAAACTCGGGCACTGCCCGAGGGTCGGGGGTTAGTAGGGGGCCCCATGAGATGCCCCTGGTACCTTTTTCATAGGCTTTTTTGAGTTTGGGCAAGGACACAGGGGTCCCATGATCCCCTATTGCCCGGGGGCCCCATGAGTTGTCAGTCCACCCCTGGTGTGAATGTTTGTTAGGGACCTAGATTGTAAGCCTCTTGAGGGTTAGGTGACTGCGTACATTGATGGCTGTATATACTGTAAGTACCAATAATAAATAATAAATAAGAACATCTGCTGAAGATACCTGAAAATCTGGAATTTAGCTTGAATCATGGGATGTAAGCCTGGCCTACAGGTCCTTTACCTGTGAAGATTGTATGATTTTTTTCACGTAGTCTGCTATTTGCTTTGTGCGTCATGTACCCTAACCCTCTCTTATAGTAGCTAACAAACTCTTTATGAATCTTAACTTAACGTGACTTTTGCCCATCAGTCCAGTTGGAGCACATTATGGGCGAGTTGGTTGAATCGTTATATGTAAACAAATGCACCTTATTAAAGTGTTACTAAACCCAGGACCCTGCATTCAGTATATCTGGTCTCCCACAGTACACACAACATGGAAATGCAATTATTTTAGTAACTATAAACTGCTAAATACCTTTTCTCATCAGCAGTTAGAGCAGTCTTGTGACTTCTATCAGTGTCCAGCAGAGCACATGTTAAAGCTTGTAGGAGGAGTTACGATTTTGCTTTAGGAGGATGCAGAACCCCTGACCTATGTCTGGACAGTGCTGATTGGCCCTATGCTGATCACATTTTTGATCACAAAAAAAAAAAACACATGATATGTCTTATCAGGAAATAAGAGGGGGATGCTTGAAGAAGGGGAGGATCAGAGAAGTCAAGATCAAATAGCCTTTTTACACAATGCTGAGAATTAACCCCTTAGGTTCCACAGTGAGTATAACAAGCATGCGTTACTGCATATACATATTGATTTTACTGTTGTGGATTTAGTAATACTTTAAGCCTTTTGTACAATCTTATTGTACAATTTCTGTGCAATTTAATTTAGATTTACCAAAACTAAGTAAAGTAAGGGCCTACCTAAACAATATTTTCAATTTGCAACCAATCAGGCAGGCTCTTAGACTACCCAGTTGATGGTAGATCTAAAATAGATTATAAACTCCAACTGTTATGTTTTTGGACAGTTTTATGTTGCATAAAGACCTGCTACAGTTGATCTGCTTACTGCTGACTAAACATTGTTGCACAGACTTTGCTATATCTAGATAGTGGTGGACTGTTCTCATACCCTACAACATGATCCAATTTAAGGTACAAAGTACTTCTGAATATTTCTCAAACAGATCCTCACAAAGAGTCTGTTTAAAGCTAAAACCTAGGCAGATATAAAGAAAACATTACATGGTCCATTTATAAACACGTTAATATGACTTTCACCATATACTCTTTGGTTGTGAATCAATCATTGCTATTGAAAGATTCACCTCTAATGAATGATTGTTGAATGTCTGCTTCACAAATACGTCCTTAAGCAATACGTGGCTAAGGAATGTGTCAATTCCTGTCCTTACTTTCTGCAATGAAAAACATCGACATGGACTGCGTGACAAATAATCAACCACAGCAGTCATTTTATTTACTACAAGTCATGTTTTGGTGCCCATTCACAAAGATTTTACAAAGATCAATCCCTGTCAAGCCATACCACACAGGCTAGAGAATTGTGCCAAATTGTGTCCTATTTACTACCCCCAAGAGACATACTTCATGAAAGCACCAAGGACAATCAACCAAGTGGAAGAATCATAGTTGGGTGCCCTATTTTGTAGCAATCCCAACTATTCCACTGACCACCAAATACTCCCTAACCTGGCAGACATGCTCCTTCCTTGTCTGAAATTTCTGAAATGAATTCACAGCATTACCCATAGAACCTACACTTATGGCTCCTACCTGCCTATCTGACCCTCAACCACTATTAAAGTAAGACTTCACAGCAACCTAATATCTTACAGTGTATCTAATGGCAAAGCTTTTATAAGAACCTCTACTAGGTGTTTATGGCTGTATGTGTCCCTGCTCTGGTGATTCTCCCTCATTTTTGGTCCTTTGGGCTATTGTCTCCAACAGAGAAAGTGAAATTGAAAATTTTGTACATACTGGAATTGTCATAAGGTAGCACAGGGTCTTTAGCTCTGACCCTATTTCACCACCAGGGTATGGCAACAGATGTTCTGCTAATTGGTGAAACGGTTTCCTCAATGAAGTGAAAGAGAGCCTAGTACTGAGGTGTGAGGGACATTCTGCAGTGATAGTGAAGGAAGCAACATCTTTTTTTCATAGGTAGGGGAGAACCTAGATAATTCAGATGTGCACCAGATAGAGTTTCCCATCCAGGGTGATCTCCAAGAGCATCAAAAATGATATTATGAAAGAGACTGTTAACAGCAAAGGATGCATTAGCTAGAATTGAGTAACTCTACTGATGTTGAAGTGAATGCCTAATCGGTTAATGTCGTTATGCTTTATATGGGAAGTCTTTAGTTAAAGTTCAGATGAATGCATGCTGATGGGTGTGTGCCTAGAGATACTAGTGAAAACATTCGTGAAACTGGAAGTGAAATGAGAGCTTGTTAAAGGGAAAGAAGACTGAACACTAGGTCTGGTGTGAAAGGGCTGCATAACCGTAGCCACTTAAGAGGAGGGAAAATATCCCTCTAATTCTAGGCCCTTTGAAGGACTCAAAGAGGATTCAACTCCTGAATTGAGCAATGATACCAGGTGAAGAAAGGTATGTATCTGTATTGGTAATGGGTTGAGTCTCGGACATCCCCACTCAAAGTACTAGCTGAATCCTGTGGGCTGTAGCTTGGGTATACTGGCTGACTGTGTGACCCAAAAGCCCCTGGTGTTGTGAGAGTATTCTAAGTTCTGAAGATGTGTGTGATGTTTGCCCCTTCCTTTCATGATTGTTCCTCCAGACTCAACATTGAAAGTCACACACAGCCAACCTGGTCTTTCATTAAAAATTCTTAAACTTGTTTTTTTACAGCAGCCAGGGTAAGTACATGCATTTGACTTATTAATGAGTAATGAACAGCACTAGAAGCCAATCAGGTGTGCTTTGGAGCCCATGTGATCACAAGAAATGTGCTGACAGGAGAAGAAAGCAAAATAGGCAAGCAAAATAGGCAGAGGGAGGAGGTCCTCGGTCTGCTGCTGCTTCTTCTTCGCAATCCAATCAGTATGTTGGGAGCAGGGGAGGACTACTTGGATGTATTGCCTGATGTTTTGCTTAACTGCACCAGAGGCAGGGCAGGACACCATTTTGGCCATGCTGTGTGGCATCACAGCACTGGACAGACAGAATTACAAATCATTTAACCTTTTACCATATATATGTATTTCAACTGTGCATTTAGTTTGTTTTCCTGGATTCCACATCTGTTTTTCAGGTGATAAAAACAAAAAAGTTGAGAAGCCCAGGAAAAGAGAATTCTCTACTATATAGCATGTGTCTATACCTTTTTAAAGGGCCTGCACTCTGTTACAATTTTAGACTGCAATGTTTGCTGTGATTATCGCAGAATGGCGAGGGCATGGATTATATGAAATCTTTTTTATTTTTGAAAATTGTTTTATTTTGGCTTGGAGACAGGAATTCAGAGAGTGACACTGGGTACAAAGTAGCTCTATACAGTGGGGATCGAAAGTTTGGGCACCCCAGCTAAAAATTTGTATTAATGTGCATAAAGAAGCCAAGGAAAGATGGAAAAATCTCCAAAAGGCATCAAATTACAGATTAGACATTCTTATAATATGTCAACAAAAGTTCGATTTTATTTCCATCATTTACACTTTCAAAATAACAGAAAACAAAAAAATGGCGTCTGCAAAAGTTTGGGCACCCTGCAGAGTTAATATCTTGTACTGCCCCCTTTGGCAAGTATCACAGCTTGTAAACGCTTTTTGTAGCCAGCCAAGAGTCTTTCAATTCTTGTTTGAGGTATCTTTGCCCATTCTTCCTTACAAAAGTCTTCCAGTTCTTTGAGATTTCTGGGCTGTCTGTCACGCACGGCTCTTTTAAGGGCTATCCATAGATTTTCAATTATGTTGAGGTCAGGAGATTGTGAAGGCCATGGCAAAACCTTCAGTTTACGCCTCTTGATGTAATCCCCCGTGGATTTCGAGGTGTGTTTTAGGATCATTATCCATTTGTAGAAGCCATCCTCTCTTTAACTTCAGCTTTTTCACAGATGGCATCAAGTTACCATCCAAAATTTGCTGAAATTTTATTGAATCCATTTTTCCTTCTACTCGTGAGATGTTCCCTGTGCCACTGGCTGCAACACAACCCCAAAGCATGATTGATCCAACCCCATGCTTAACAGTTGGACAGAGGTTCTTTTCATTAAATTCTGTGCCCCTTCTTCTCCAAACGTACCTTTGCTCATTCCGGCCAAAAAGTTCAATTTTAACCTCATCGGTCCACAGAACTTGTTTCCAAAATGCATCAGGCTTGTCTATATGTTCATTTGCAAAGTTCAAACGATGATTTTTGTGGTGAGGACGTAGAAGAGGTTTTCTTCTGATGACTCTTCCATGAAGACCATATTTGTACAAGTATCTCTTTATAGTGGAATAGTGTACCACAACTCTAGTGTCTGCCAGATCTTTCTGGAGGGATCGTGCAGTCAAACGTGGGTTTTGAATTGTTTTTCTCACAATCCTGCGAGCTGTTTTTTTTGCTGTTATTTTTCTTGGTCTTCCAGATGTTGCTTTAACTTCCACTGTCCTGATGACTGCCATTTCTTAATTACATTCCGAACAGAGGATATTGACATCTGAAAATGCTTTGCTATCTTCTTATAGCCTTCTCCAGCTTTGTGAGCGTCAACTATTTTCAGTTTCAGTTTTGTAGACAACTGCTTAGAAGAACCCATGGTGCTGATTGTTGGGGCAAGGTCAGATGAGTCTGGGCATTTAAAACCTTTGAGATTGACATAACCTGGTCTTCCCAGACGATGATTTAGAACAATCCATGACACTGGCAGGTCTCAGCTTGGCAAAGGGGGCAGTGCATGCTATAAATTCTGCAGGGTGTCCAAACTTTTGCAGACGCCATTTTTTTGTTTTCTGTTATTT